TTGGGCAGATGAGTTTATGCAGTATTATTCTGGAAGTGACACCATCAGAAGGAATGCATTGGCACTGATAACGAATGAAAATCACCAATCAGTTGACAGCTTTCAAGCACTAAATGCAAAAATAATGGCTGATCAAATCCAAGCTAAATATCTGAATGTCTCATTTGTCTAAATTTATGCACCACCAACAAAAGTACTGAAGAATAGCTCTATGCTGACATTTAAGAAGTGCTATAAAAAAGCTGAAAAGAGATAGAAACACAGTTATCTCTGTTCAAACTTTACCTGCTGCAGACTATGATTTGGATTATCAACTACTTGTAGCCAAAAATGATTTTAATTGAAATTCTGTAACACACACATACACACAAAAGGATATGGTACTGTACCTAGGAATGTGATAGTGGTAAGATTTCATCTCTATACAGTGTGTAGTTGAAATAAAAAAGAGTTAATTAACCATGGAAAAACAACCTAATAAACTATGGAAAGAAACAACAATTAAAAAATCCCATTTCAAATAAACAGCCCAGAAACATGTCCCATACAAAAATCTAACAAAGATAATCAAATGGCTTTCAGTGGAAATCATCCGAAGAAAAACTAAAGGTATCGCACAAATGATAAGAAGCAAATAAAATATAAATAGAAGGAATACACTGTATTATGGCCAGGGTGGATTTGATTTAAATCGAGTTGATTTAAATCACAATTTAAATCATGAATTAAATCACTAGTAAAAAGGCTTGATTTAAATCAACTCGATTTAAATCATAATTTTTAAAGAGCAACTGTCATCTCTGCTACTCCTTTGACCCACTGTTGACTCACCGATAGTCCCAGTGTTGCAGAATATACAGCCTCATGCTACATAACTAAGCTCCATTTCATGCTGAATAAACTAAATTATTTATGTATCTTAAATAGGAAACTATCTTACGATAGATTTTTACCCCAAAAGTTTTTTATTAAAATAAATTCGATAAAAATAAAAAAACCCGATTTAAATAAAAAAAAATCTGATTTCATACTTTAGCAAAAATTAGTTGAAAATCCTACAAATGGGTCAAACCATGAAAAAAGAGCTGCCCAACACATAGAAGAGGAAGAGGTACGTGAGACCACATTGCAAATGTTGGGACAAGCATGCAGATTTCAAAAGGATGTATATTTATTCTTCATTGACAATATCAAACCTTTTCAAGTATACTAAAATTTTATCCAAGTATTTGTAAGAAATGAATGTTCCTGGATGCTTGATTAAATCAATAAAATCATTATGCAACAACAAAGAAGGTGCTGTCAGAACACAGATTAATTCAAGACTAGAAAAGATGTCTGGCAGAGCTGTATTGTATTCTCTTTGATATATACATAGAGGCAGTTTTAACTACGATGAATCAGAATTGGAAGAAAGATTGGCGGCAGGAATATTAACAATTTAAGAGATGCGGGTGACACCATATTATTGGTAGAAAATGCTGCAGAACAAATTATTCTAAAGGTCAAGGCAGAAAGTGAAAAAGCTGGATTGCAGCTAAATACCAAGAAGTTTAAGGTTATAAAAACAGCTGGAAATTGTGACATCAAGACAAAAATTGACTGAATCAGTCCTGGACTTTTATTAGATCATTTGGTTCCAACAATGATTGAAGACATTTCAAACCAAAATTAAATGTAGAATATCACTTAGCCATGCTACAGTGAGTAGAAGGAAGATCCACAAGGCCATCGGTCTTAATATGAAGTGCAGAATAGTAAATATGATTGCTTTTTATAACTACTTAGGATGATGAAAACTAGACAATAAAAAAGTGGATGGGAGAAATGAAGACTCCTTTAATTTATGGGTTTAGAGATGTCTACTGTGTGTATTTTGGACAATGAAAATAACAAACATGGAGATTTTAGATTGCATCATTCCAGAAATAACACTGAAAGCTAAGATTTCCTAGCTAAGGCCATCTTATTTTATTTATTTATTTATTTATTTATTTATTTATTTATTTATTTATTTATTGCGATTTATATGCCGCCTTTCTCCCTAGGGACTCAAGGCGGCTTACAAAATGACAACTTCATTTTTGACCATGTCATGTGATCAAAGTCCTTAGAAAAATCGCTAATGCTGAGAATAGTGAAAGACTGACAAACGAGGCTGGTGAAGAAAATGCTGAATTGATATTATCAAGCAAGATACTGGTTTAAAGCTTAAAAACTTAAAATAGTAAGATATTGGAAAGAATGAAGAGAGTTGATCTTAAAGGGTCTGCAAGTTGGATGAGACTGAATGCAACAGTTCATTTAGTGACCGTTCAAAGTTACAACGGCACTGAAAAAAGTGACTTATGACCATTTTTCACACTTATGTCCATTGCAGCATCCCCATGGTCACATGATCAAAATTCAGATGGTTTGCAAGTGGTTCATATTTATGATGATTGCAGCGTCTTGGGGTGATCAACTTTTGTGACCTTCTGACAAGCAAAGTCAATGGGGAATCCAGATTCATTTAACCATGTTACTAACTTAAAAAAAAATGTAATGATTCACTTAACAACTGTGGCGTAAAATGGGGCAAACTCAACAAATGTTTCACTTAGCAACATACATTTTAGACTCAATTGTGGTCGTAACTCGAGGACTACCTGCAGATAAAGGGTTGGGGTTGGGGAAGGCTACCTAAACATTATTACTCTCACTTGTCAGGCACAATTAGCATGCTTTCTCTCTTCTTGATAATAAGGTACAGAAATATATATTCATTTCTATTCAGAATTCACCACAATATTGGTGGATCCTCCAAATAAATAAGGCTTTGTTACATTCTTCTTCATTCAAAGAAGTGTTAATTCAGTGTATTCTTCTTTTTCTACTGCAATTCTGATAACAAACTTGAAGGACTATAAACAAGTGATAAGAATGGTCGTTGATCAACAGTTGGCTACCTTCTCAGTCTCAAGAGCCGCTCTTTGTTATCTGCAGCAGCAATCCCCTTGTTTACCAGAAAATCAAGTTTCAGACAGAATAGGTAAAGCAAAGAGAAAAATAGGTGATGAAGTTGAAAGAGAAATCCTTTCAGGAAACTGGAGACTCTTAATATGTGGAGCAGCTTTTTACCTCCAGGATATTTCCCTCATGTCCAATAAATGGAAACAGAAAGACGAAAATTGGCATCTCCACAAACTGATCTCCCCACCTTCTCCTATTTGCACACACACACTGACATAGCTTATGTAGTTATTATTTGCACGTGCTAAAATATCCTTTGGCCAGTTAAAGCAGATACCACAGTAAGTTTAGGTAGAAGGGCTTATGTATCACCTTGAATTTGCTTCTAGTCTGATATCTTTAATTTAACAGGAATGGAGTTGGAAGGGACCTTAGAGGTCATCTAGTCCAACTCCCTGCTCACTCAGGAAACCTGTACCAGGGATTCGAGCCACCAAATTCAGTGTCTTAGCCACTGAGCCACCTAATATATCTAATTTGTAAATAAAGGTCAGTGGTGGGCTGCTCCCGGTTCGCACCGGTTCTATAGAGCCAGTAGTAAAACTGGCAGGAGGCTCCGCCCACCGACCCTGACGTTATCAAAACACTTCTGCGCATGCGCACGGCCCTGCTACAAACCGGTAGTAAAGGTAAGTAGAACCCACCCCTGATCAAGGTGTATACCAAAACATGCGGTGTGAACCCAACTGATGTGGATTATTCAATTAGCCAAGGTGAGAGGCCTGACTTTAGCACAATGTGTAAAATGTGTCTCCAGACAACTTCACTATGTGACAGGACCCTCAGAAGAACTGTGCAGGATCAAAATCCTTCTTATTTCACATTCAGTTTCACAATGAGCAAAAATCACCTCTCAGAAGCTACTAAACAGGATGTAATTACCGAAGCTTTATTTTATATATTTATTCATCAGATTTCTACACGCCCACCTCACCTAAATGACTCTGGGCAGCTTACAATAAAACGGTCTCCTGTTGACATTTCCCAGCAACTGGGAACAAACTGGCTCAGTTCACATATTGGCCTATATACCCTGTTTCCCCCAAAATAAGACATCCCCTGATTATAAGCCCAACCGGGCTTTTGAACACATGGCAATAAGGCCAAGTGCTTATTTCAGGGTTCAAAAAAATATAAGACAGGGTCTTATTTTCGGGGAAGCATGCTAGTAATGGGGTTGAGTAACTATAATTCAATGTGAATCCATACAGTACCAGTATGGTAACCATCACATTAAGCCATAACGTAATTTATTTTAGGGGTGTATCAAGTAGATGAACCTAGCAACTTGATAATCTGGATTAATCGGAACTCACCCCAACTCTGAAAACTGCAATTCATGTCTAGCTAACTTGCCCAACAGACACCCCCCCCCCAATCATTCTGAAACGAATGGCATTCAAGCAAGTACACACGGCCATGGCAAGAGACCCTTAAAAGAATATTTATAGCTCAGGATTAAAATGAGGGACCCTTAGCATCCTGTGATCTTCGTTGTTTTCTTGCAGACGTTTCATTACCCAGACTAGGTAAACATCATCAGAGAGAGAGAGAGACCTTTTCCCCTCCATGTTTTGGAAGAATGGAGGATCTCGGTGATCTCATCACAGACTATCCCCCCCTCCCCAATTCCTTACACGTCGGTCGATCTTCGGGATCTCTCTCTCTCTCTTTAACGGCAGCTGCTCTTCCCAAACCCCACCTCGCCCCATTATTCCCACTCCGAGTCAACGCGGGCAGAGTGGACGAGACGCTGTCGGGGCTGCCTTCCCCAACGTCCCCCCAACTTACTTGGCGGAAAGCGTGTTGATGGAGCCGGTGATCAGCATCAGCGCCGCCAAGCAGAGCTGGTACCTCGTCCAGGCCATCGCTGCTCTTTGCCGCTCTCAGTAAGCAGCCGGCCCCGAGTATCCCCCGCAGTGGCTCGGGTGCATTTCCTCCTCGGCACGTCACATGACCGCCATCGATCAGCTGACCGTCGGCTGCGCTGGTGAGGGCGCCCGCGGTTCGCAAGCCGCCTTCTCAGCAGCGATCGTGGGGGAGAAACTCGTGATCGTGTCCTCCTCTCCCCCTCCTTCCCTCCCTCCCTCCCTCATTGGAAGTCGAGGGATGCTTTGTGAGCAGGGTTAGGCGGCACTCTTCGGAAGAGAAGCGGAGCCTATGCGCTTTAACCGAAAGCAGGCAGGAATTCAGCCGGTGAAGCTTCCTCCGCCGTTCAGCTTGTTAATGTCAAGAAGGGGGTTTTTTTTGCCCTTGGTTGCCGGCCTCCCTAACGATCGCAGCGTGCCTTGTTTGTGCTGCAATCCTAAAGAGCGACGGTTGAAAAACTGGTTTGAGCCAAGCATTTTAGGGAAAGGCGCAGATTTTGCTGCTTGTGCGAAGTGACGAATAGCAGAGCTGGGCAGAAATTAGACTTGCTAGTATACAGATACGGAATTGAAACTGCAGGGAAGAAGGAAGTGTTTCTGCTTATCCCATCTTAAATTACTCATCTTAAAAAAAAATAATAATAAAGAGAATTAGACTTGGTTAATGGCCAAACTGAAAAGTTGAAAAAACATCTTGAAAGAAAGCAGTGGCAAGCTATAGCAATACTATTGCAAAGAAAGTTCCTTGGATATGCCCATGTAATCCGGAGAAATCCAACACAATTTGTCTTTACTTTACTTGACATGCCATGCTTCCTGATGGTGAGATCAAATCTCTGATTTACCTCAGACTGGAGATTCTAATTCTGAATTTTTAAAAATTTGGCAGCATGAATGAGAGCAAAAGGTAAAATTAATAGCTTTTTTGAAGTTGGTTGATCATCAAGAGGTTTGCATTTTTTGAATGTACAAGGAGATGGTCCAGGAAAGTGTTCAAATAAATTATTTGGATTCAAAAGTCTGTTAAATTACATAACATTCTATGAGTAATTACTATCTATATGCCGTCATCTTTGGCTATTCTACAATTTAATTTCACCAATCATTTCCTTTTACTATTTTCTTCTTGGCTCTAACAAATCTGACATAGCAGTGTATTCTCTTGCAAGGATAATGCTGCACAAATTCAAATGAAGTGATTCAAATGTAGCCAATTTTAATGTTAATATTTATTTTAATATTTTAATCTTGTCTTACTTGGTTGTAAGCTGCATGGAGTTGCCTCTTGATGAGATGGATGAATACATATTTAACAAATATAAATTTGTACTCCAGGAAAAACTATGCTAAATCACTGTTATTTTACCAAATGTCACAAGATTTTTTTATTGTTTTCACTGTTTAGTCAATTAACTTGTTTAGTTTAATTATGTTGAATTTAAGGACAAAGATCTGCTTGGGCTTCTTTTTTGAGGGAGGCATACTAGGCCAATGATGAGTTCTGGAACACCATATTTTGGAACAATAGCAAGGCAAGTGTGTAATGTTTGACGACACTTCAATGTGCTGAGGCCACATATTTGGGAGTCACTTGGGACTTCACAGTTTCTAGAAATCTACCCCAAATATTTCCAGGCACTTGCCTTGCTACTGTTCCAAAGTGCATTGCTATGTTATGGAAAGTCAAAATGTGACCCTCACTTTCCTTTGCATTTGCACTTAGGCTGGAACTAAGAAAATTAAGAGTTGACAACATCTGAAATGGCCATCTTATCCCTACTAACAGAAATTGCTGTTTTGATTAATATCCTGAATATAGTTGATTTGCTTGCAGAACTGCGGGCATCTCGGCATGTTTTCTGTTCTGCAGGGTCTAAAGAAAGATAGTGGCAATAAAGGGGTGAAGACAAAGCAAAAAAAAAAAAAAAAGTCCATTGGAAGCCTAAATTAGCAATGCTTGACTAAATATATGATTCTTTTAGTAGATAATATCTATCAAGCATGGTGAAAAAGAAGCGGAAAAATAAAATCCAACAGAATAACAGTGTCTCAGCCCAATTTGCTTCATAGCTTGGTAAAAACACATCCATTGGTGTACACAAGATTTTTAAAACTGCCTTCAGACTTAAAAACATTACATGTGAGAATTTAGATTTTATTGTATTATAGTTGTTCGGATATACAAACATTGAAAGCTCTTTTAGTCTGTTGAGCTGATGATTCATCTTGAAATTAAAAAAACTTTCAAAGCATATGCCTAGCTTCTCATAAGAGATTTATCATACCCAAGACAACATAAAAACCATAACTAACATTCCTTCTGGCATTTTGAATTACTGTATGTCTCATTAGGCAACTGAGGAATTTGGCTATACAGTTGACTTGCCACATTTTCTTAAGTTGAGAACCAGATTCAATACCTGGCACCTTTATTTTTAAAAGCGAAGAAGCTATTATTGGCTTATTACTCCTGAGTAATGGAGTAATGGAGCTGCTTTGCCTGGAATACATGCTGTGCATTAATTTTCCCGCTACAGTATACAATGCATTATATACAGATTGGTGCCCTCTATTTTTTGGGTTTAAAAAAATATTTTTTTTTTTACTAACTGTAGCACTATTTCTGAAATCTCATATAATGTAAGATTTTTGGCTTGGTGTTAAATTTTGGACTGTGCTCTAAAATTGCCTGGGCAGCAGAATAGGCCAAAGCAACTTTCAGAGCTGTCTTCACAGCTGACCAGTCTAAATGCAAACTAGCTGAAGCAGGTTTTCAACAATATCTGATGTGGACTTTGTCACATATTGAATCAAATCCTCTAATTCTTCTCTGCCACAGCAAATCTCTGGGAGAACAGAGAGAAGGAGTAACCGCTGACCAAGGAAGAAAGAACTGGCTTTTACGAGGTAAAGGAGAAGCAGAGGCAATTCTTGTTTCAGGAGTCTTGTTTATTTCTATAGAAATACGTAAGCGTTTAGATAAAAATTTGCTATTAGCATTTTGATTTGATATGAGTGAGCTAAATCTTTATTGTAATCTTGTGTTTATGTCTCTAAATAAAATGATTAATGTATAATTCCCACAGTTGTCATGTATTTTGGATTGTGTTCAAGAATCTAGCTTTACAGGCGTTAAATGATCACCATGTAAACCTGCAGCTGAACATGGATAGAAGAGAATATTTGTAGCCCAGAACTGAACCGTGGGATCCTTGGGGCTCTCTGAGCTTAGTTGTTTTCTCACAGATGTTTCATTACCAAACAGTGCCTGATGATGTTATCTAGTTTGGTAATGAAATATCTGCAAGAAAATAATCAAACTCAGGATCCAGGATCCTGCAGCTGAACAGCGAAGTGCTCAACCCTAACAGATAGTCTGATAGGAGCAATTGTCTTGTTTCCCTTGAAATTTGGGAGCTCTGTAAATTATCTTTTTTCTCAGAACTGTTAATATTTAAAGTTTAAAAGGGCTGCTTCATTGGAGTTTTTTCTTTTTCTTTTTTAAATAAAGTTTAATTTTGTCTATACCCCATGAGATTGGTCTATCTCCAAAGATAGAAGGGTTAAACCTCCGGTTATTTGGGTGGCAGATGCCCAGGAGATTATGTTATAGCAATTATACTTTTAAAAAAAAACACCTTTTACCTAGTAATTGTCACGAAGTCAGACAAGATATAGAAGCACTGTATTTCTCATATGCCAAGATTAAGGGGAATAATAACAAGTGAGACACTGTCTAGAAAATAGTTTGTGGCAATGAGAACTAATCCAAGGACAGGAAGCCAGGTCTGAGCGTGAAGAATCAAAGGGCTTTTAGAAGGGGAAGTTCTGTCTAGGTGTTCAGCTGAGTTGCCACAGTGTCACAAGATACTTATTTGGTTTTAGATCAGCTTGTTGTATGATCCCAATAACAGTAATTGGCTTCATACAGCATCAGGTCAATTGAGGACCTAGCAACTGCACTAGCCAAAACATGCTAGGCTTGTTAGGTTTATCTGGTTTTTAATGGCATGTTATATTGTGCAAATTCAGCTTGAAGGCTCAGTGTAGAATGGAATGAGAAAAAATGACTGATCTAGTAACCAAGGTAAATGTGTTGTGTGGTATAAATCTGTTTATTATGGTTTAGAAGGTTCTGTGAATTAGGCATGTACTTCTAAACCTGAGGACCTTTATTCCCATAAAACTTTTTGAGGCTTTTGCCTCAGTCTAAGATTACCTCTTCATTGGTCAAGATCTACTGTACATATCTAAGAAATCTTTTTCATACCAAGAAACCTGAATAGACATTGATGAAACAGCTACATTTTCCCTCTCTTCATCCCTCCCCGTTTCACCTCTATGGTTGAATAATTTTATCTACATACAGAGTTCTTGCACCAATTATCAATTTTATACCAATTATCAATTTTATAATTGGCTGGTGTTGCTTCAGCATGGATTTTGATCTTTTCTTAATTTGAACACGTCAACTATCCCCTAACCCCACCAGTGCTGCATCTGTCTAATCCTGTTAGAACTCCTAATTTAATCTTAGGAGGGGAGTGAAACCTTATTAGAATTGCTGGCAGGCAGCAATATCTGACTGCTGCCATATTTTGAAACCCCAAATTACAGAATATGAGAATTAAATGCAAAACCGCCAGAGGATCTGAGTTGTGCCAAGTAGTTTATTTAGCTGATAAAGTATTTGTTCTTCAGGTAGCCTGGTCCAAAACATGTAGAACTTTATGGATCAATCTCAGAATGGTGAACGGAAATACAGATAGTTCTTGACTTACATGAAATACTGATAGTCCTTGATTTACAACAGTTCATTTAGTGACCATTCAGAGTTACAACGGCACTGACTTTTGACTGTTTTTCACATTTACAACTGCTGCAACATCCCTGTTGTCACATGATCAAAATTTGGATGCTTGGCAACTGGTTCATATGTATGACAGTCGCAGTATCCAGGAGTATGATAATCTTTTGCAACCTTCTGACCAGCAAAATCAATGGGGAAGGCAGCTTCACTTAACAGCCATGTTACTAACTTAACAACTGCAATGATCCACTTAACAACTATGGCAAATAGTGAGGCAAAGCTCACTTAACAAATGTCTCACTTAAGAACATAAATTTTGGGCTCAGTTATGGTCGTAAGTCAAGGACTATTGTACATTGACAGTCACCACAGTTGCAGAATGCAGCACTTTGATTCCTATTTCCTACCAATTCAGGTGGCTGCATTCTGTCACAGATAACGGATTCTTGATTTAGCAATTTACAGATGACCATGACAGCATCAACTGAGATAAATCAGATGTCTTGTAGCTTCACTATAGAAAAACTACAGAAAAACCAGGAAGGAAGGAGATGGAAATGGAGGGCTGAGGCGGAGTTGGGAGGGAGGACAGCTAGAGGCTTTCTTCATGTAATCATCTAGTAGAATTCCTCCTTCTCTCTAAAATAGCAGAAAAGATATAGCAATTAAACTCCCATCACCAACTCATCTCCTCCTCCTGATGCACCAGCACAGAAGGAGATTTATGGGGCTAGAAATAGACCCAGTAGTTCTCATTGGCTCTGATCGGAGAATATTATGTCATCATTACCCAGTCAGGATAGTTCACCTTCCTATCGGACAGATGTCGAAGGCTAGCTGAGAATTAATTCCTTTGTGCTTCTGGAACCTGCTTTGGGTATTTCTAAAATGTATAGTTCAGTATCTTATGCAAAACTAGAAAATTTTGGAAAATTCAAATTAACAACCTTGTATAATTGAACTCTTTTTCTGACACTACTGGTGGAGAAAATTTTTTGCAATGTTGAAACTGGGAAAACAAAGAATTATTCTGCAATACGGTCTCCTTTGTGTACTGATTTTATGTGGTCTATACCCTCTTTCAGGCGGTTCATTTTCTGATTTATGGTTATGCAATCATTAAATACAGTTCTATCTAAATTCTCCATTTCAATTAAACTGTCTAACAACCACTCCTTTTAATGCCTTTTTCTCCCTTTCTTTCCTGAAAAGAGGTTCAACCATATTGGTTCGTGCAGTGGCACTGCCTGTGCTCTTTACTGACACCTCGGCTTTTGTGATATAAATCCCAACAAAGGAAAACCGAACACGTGTTGCGGGCTTGCGGTTTTAACTGCAAAGGGGCCGCAACTAGTGCTGAATTCTAACAATGCAGAAATGTTGGTCCTGTTGTGCACAAACGTCCATCCATTTTCAATGACATTTAAAATATTTTTATAGTCTGGCGATATTTGAATTCTCATAGATGTGAAAAAGTAATTAAGAAATATTAGATGAATGAAATCCTCATCTAAAGCTAAACCTTTGAAAGCTAAGGTCTGTGCTGGATTGATCAAAGATCTTTCTCAATCAACTTTCCATTCCCACACTGTCGGCTGTACCAGTGGGAAATTCCCAAACAGGAAACGAGAGCGAGTGAGGTGTAATAGTAAATAGTTGAGATTGAGACAGGAGAAACTAAAGGTCAATTTTATCATCAATTATGAAAGCTGGCTGAATTTAGACCAGTCACTATTATGCAACCCAATCTACGTTATAGGATTCTTGTGACAAAACATGGGAGGAGGGAGTGGATCCCTTAGGATCTTGGAGGAAAGACAGGATATACTGTAAAGTAAGTCAAATGATTAATGAAAATAATAGTGACCTCATACTTCAATAAGAATGGCCTCATGTCTTCTGCTCTCCAATAACCAGAATTGAGAGAAAATATTCAGCCACTGATATCCCTTATGAGTTTATAAATTTGTGTAGTTTTGGGGTTACACAAATCAACAGCTTTTTGGGCAGTTGTGCTACTATCATTATTCCTTCTTGGCTGCTGCTAGAGAAAAGTGCATGCAATTTATACAATTGGGGAGAATCATGTGGGAATTTTCCATTGGTTCTGTGAAATTGCATAGTTATGAAATCACTAAAGTTGGATTATCTTTGGGTGGGACAATGTCCCAATGTAGAGAGCAGAGGGAATGAACCTGAAGACAGAAAGAAGAGCTACCGCCAAAACATGGTCAGATAATAGGAGCTTGAGCTCGGGCCAAGAAAGAAACAGACAAGCCCCTTGTCAGCTTCTTGAGGTAGTCCAAAAAGAAGCAGAAACCATGGGTACTAAGACTACCTTCATTGTGAAGTTACAGTGACAGAATCCTCCTACAAGTCTGAAAGTATTTCTCCCATCCTTTACTTTTACTTTCCAGAAAATTAGGGAGGGTCTCTTCTGAGGAGCTTCCACATATCCTCCTATTTCTGCAGGCTGAGATGCCTTTTGCATGATGTTGTCTAGTCTGCAGCTCTTCCTCCTGTCTCCCAAGGTTATTCCTACATAGCATCACAAAGATAAAGTGAGGGAATGGGAAGCACATTCAGACTTGAAAGTTACTATAAAAAAAGGCAAAGGTTTCCCCTGTCCAGTCATGGCTTTAGAAGGGGGTGCTTATCTCAGTTTCCTAGGCAAGGGAGCCAGCGTTGTCCAAAGACACTTCCATAGCCATGTGGCTGGCGTATACGATGTTATTACCTTCCCACCAAAGTGGTACATATTTATTTTAGTTGCATTTGCTGTTGAACTGCAGGAGAAGATTGGCAGGAGCTGGAGCAAGTAATGGGACCTCACCCCATCACGCTGTACTTGAGTCTCAAACTGCCAACCTTCCAGTCAACGAGCCCAGTGTCTTAACCACTAGGCTACCATACCCCATTCTGTTACTATTACAATAAAAGTACTTCTGACCTACATGGCATCAGTTTCTAAGTCAGGCCTACCTTGTTTGGCTGACGCCCAGTCGTGTTCCCAGGGAGGTGTGAAAGTTGGCCATATGGTAGATGGAGAATCACAATATATGCTGACATTGCATGCATGTTTAAAAAACGCTGTGGTTTTTAATGCAATGCTCCACGATTTAAAATAAAAAAAAAATCGCTGCTGATTTTGTTTACCTCCCTATTTCTTCTTGTGTACACTTCATATACGGTTGATATTCCATCCCTCCTTAGGAACAATCCCTTTGTAAAGTTGACCAGGTGTCAAAAGCAACACATGGAAATTTTTCCA